CATCCCGTCTCCCAGAAGCTCAGACCTCACCTCTCTTGTCCAGCAGGATCTGCCCCAGGGTATGAACAGTGTGGCATTTCCCAAGTAAGTTCTGCCAGCCCTGCTAGACTGCAATATAGTCAAATGTGTCATCTCTGCCTTTATAGACGTTTTGTTCCAGGGCAGTACTTTCGTGTTTGAGGGAATCCTGATCGCTTCCTTTTTTTTTTTTTTTATCCTAATTTTACAGTCACTGAATAAATGACTCTGAATGTTTGGCACCTGATCTTCCTGTTACTTTCTGCCTGTTTTGTACTTACGTTTTTTCCCTTTGGCATTTGTTAGAGCGGCTTCCCTTTCCACAGAAGCACTGTTACTTAGAAATTACCATTTTATTTGCAATATGCTATATATGAAATGGGGCATAGATGATGGTTACGTAGCTTGAGAATAGATCCCTTAATTTTAATGTGTTTTATAAATAATTGGCCTGATCCTGTGTCCTTTGACTTCAGTGGGAGTTTTCCAACAAGTGTATTTACGCAAGAACAGCCCGGCTGCCGGCGCAGCGTCAGCGGGCAGCACGCCTTTGCATTCAGCACAGTTGCATGTGCCCGTGCCAAGAATGAATTTTGCCGATTCAAATTTGCTCAGTTTGTCAACACACAGCTCCCATTGAACTTCACGGGACGAGAATCATTCTTGGCACGGGGCCGCGGGCAGCCTGGGGAACGCTGCCCGTTGACGGCACCGGCTGCGGCCGGGGTCCCCGGTTTGCGAGGCTCCCATCGCCTGTAGCATGTGTTTGCTGTTGTTTGACTAGTGGGAAGAGTCGGTGATAACAAGAGATTTCCTACATTAGTTTTCAAGGCTTTTTTTTTTTCTTTTTTTTTTGGTGGCTGTCTGGATGATTAATGTGAATAGGAAAATACTGTTGACCCATTTAAATCATGTTAGACGACATCCATTGCTCATCTGCATAATGAAACACACACTGAACATTACAGCCTAAGTATAAGAGCCAGTGAACTACAAAAATAATATTTTTCTCATTTAGCTTATGAAGTAAAATATAGGACATTAGTACTAATCATAGTATTAAATTTTAAGCCATGCAAATTGTAATTGTCAGTGCAAAAGAACTATAAGTTGAAAAGGCTATTAGCATTTCAGCTTTAACAGTTAATTTGAGTAATTTATTTTTTTTTTTTGCTAGTATGCAGCTTAGAAAAGTCTATATGCAAAACATTTCATAGTAAGTGCAGGAGTGTTTGTTTTATATCATTATTTAATTTCAATCATTAAAGAAATGTTAGAAATATTAATTTGTCATATTAACAAGTATTAACAAGTATTTTATATTACAAAGAGTGAGCTGTAATCTTTACTTAGATAAAATCAAATCTAACAGTAACTGAGAGATGAAATAATTTTAAGCATTTATTTAAGTACCAGAACCAAAGCTGAAGCCTTTAAAAATAAGGATTTCGTCAAATAAAAACATCATTTTCAGCATTTTAAACTAAATAAAAATTTTAAAGTACTGAATTTAGGCTGTCAGGTTTCTATGGTTACCTATCTTTCCAGCAGTTTGGTGAGATGTGTAGATAGGCCTATGAGTCACTTGTAATTATTTGTTTTTTGTTTGTTATAGTTGTAATTCTATGTTCAGTTTGAATCTAATATAGTTCACACCACATGCTTTGATTTATGTATATTTTAGTGCATATGATTGACAGTGATTGAGAATTTCTTATGGAGTGCTTGTTTTTTTTGTCATAAGTGATGTATGTTGGTACTTCTGAAAATGTAAACAACTTCTTCCTGTATCACTGTTTGATAAACAGGGACTTTTATGATACGAAAGAGGTCTTTGTAAATGTTAAGCATGGAGATAAGTGAAAGGTATTTAAAAAAAAAAAAAAATTAAAACAGCTCCCAAACATTATACCATACTTTTCCAAATTCGATCCGTAATCCTATCATTATAATTCATTCAGTGACCCAAATGTCACATATTTATGAATAAGCCTCCAAGTTACGCATTAGTAGCACATACTAATGACTGACAGGTTTAAAAATAAATGTTTTAATAAGGATGCTGCAAGTTATCTGCAGCAAGGCCTTGATTGGAACATCTTCCTTGTGCAGTGCTGTCTTGGGGAAAAAAAAAAACCAGAAGAACTCGTTTCCACTACCACCGCAATAGTTTAGTAGAAACAGCTCTAAACTCTTACACCTCTCTGCTCATGTATTTTGAAGTCTGGGTTATAGGATGTAGTTCCCCAGCCTCACACTCTTCACTCTAGCGAGGGACACATATATGCTTTCTCAGTAAAGACTCACTGTCCTAATGTAACTTGTGTTTTCATGTGAATACAAGTAGTTAACAACATTTAATATAAGGCGAGAAACACTGTTAGCTGTCATTTTTATCAAACTAGTAGTAATGTAATCTTATTTTATTAAGGTATTAATCCCGAAATTGCTAGCAGTATACACTTTTTTTTTTTTTTTTTTTTTTTTTTTTTTTTTTTTATTTTGAGATAAGACTGCCTTACTATTCAGGAACGTTCTTGTATCCTTAGGGATTTGGCTGCAGGTGTATTGAAGATAATTATTGCAACGGGTCTTACATTTTGTGTGGGGAAAAGACTCCTGACTGCCCATTCTCTTCCTGTGTCTCAAGCTATGATGTTCAAGAGCACTCCTAAATATTCTCTGCAAAGATTACTCTTATTTCAGCAGCCTTGCTCACCCCCTGAAAGGGTTTCTGTGGGAAATGTTTTTTTGTGGCGATTCAGACATATTTTTTCCATTTCAGGTGGAAATTTAAGAGATTAAAGTAGGATTTATTTTTAACATTTAATACTGTGTCAGGCATGTATATGGGATATAGGACATAACCATGCCAGTTGAAAACCAGTCGATTCACAGAGCACCTGAAAAGATTTTATCCCAGTAGGATTCAATGAATGTTAAAGCTGTGGGCGTGTGCATATTAACAACAAGATTCGGTATTGTGCGTGTGTGTAAGGACTATTTGAATAGCTTATTATTTTAATTTGAAACAATGGCTATTTTTTAAACTGAGTAACTTGTTCCAACAGTTGTTACTTCCCTACAAAATCAAAATAATGAATACAATAATTAGTCTTTCAAGCAAAAGTAGTTCCTCTGATCTTTTAAAAGAACTAAAGATAGGTGGAAAGTGACTGAAAGATGTATTTAAATATGCAAACCTGAGCAGATCTGTTTCTCGTTCTAATTTATTCACTTTATGATAAATTAATTTACTCAATACAGGAATGCAGTAACATAAGAGGAATGTTTCTCCTGCTAGTCACAGAAGTTGAAACTTGCCAGATGCTGTGATCCAGAGCCTAAATTCCCCTGATATTAACTGTGTGTGAAACTCTTAATATTGCTTTGTCCAGCTTTTGTACCTGACTTCTTTCTGTGATACTGCTTTAGGCAACACTTTCTTTTTATTTTCTACTTGCATTATTCTACTGGAGAGAGATAATGTAGTAAAAATAACGCTAGGATGGACAGCTTTATTAGAGAACTACAATGCCCTGTTCCCAAAGTTAAGTCTGCACAGCCCAGTCCCACTTTCTGTAATAGACAATTAATTTCCTTTGGTATATAAATTAATACTCAGATATAGTTAGATTGTACTCTGTATTTTTAAAATCCTGTAATAAAATGGGAAAGTGCTGTTTAATGACACCAGAATTTTACTCAGTCAGTGAATTTATTTCTTATTCTGGCTTGGTGTGTCTGTGTGTGTGTGTGTGTGTGTGTGTATATATGTGTGTATATATATATACATACACACACAACTGCTTGATTGGCCGAAGGGGTTTTTAAGGATATAAAATTAATTTTTCCTTTTCTTCTTGTTTGTTAAAGTTCCATTGTCGGTTGCTGCTGATAAAAGGTGGCACCGAGCCAGCTTCCTGAAGGAGCTATGGGGAGGGTCATGGCTTGTCATGACCTGGGCACCATTACTTGAATGTTGTTATTATTGGGATGAAGTACCCTTAGGCTGTCATCCTTCCTGTAAATAGAAGAGGTTCTGATTCTCTGTGGTTTCCCAGTTTACCAACTTGTAGAACAGCTATTTTGTTGGCCCTAAGTTTGACTGAATAATGAATTAAAAGAACGGCACTATTCCAGAAGCCACTGATTCATTATTTCAGTGTGCTGGTCTAGACTAAGTCATAATAAGTAATGATAAACAAGAATATATTTCTATGTAGTTTATAAATTTACACACAATTAAAAACTCATTTGTATTAGCATATAGCAAACAAATTGCCTGGTTCCGCTCTCCATGAAGTAAGGGCAAAATTTTAATTAGCAGGGAGCATAACTGGTCCTGAGGGTCAAACCTGACTTTTTTCAGTGTCACTGAGGAGTCCCAGTGGTGTCGGCAAGGAGGGGCTGACTCTGCTCCCTTGGAGTCGGTCGGCATTTGGCTGTTGCCTTGCTTCATTGGCTCTTATGGGAGTAATGAGGACAGCAATTCTGTTAATGCCTTTATTAACTAAACAACTTCTGTTGTTAATTTCCAGTTAATTTCAATAATTAAATAAAACAATGCCAATTAGAATATAATGTTTGCAAGATACTGGCCTGCGTTTCGGTTTATCAGAGTACAGTCATAAGCATGCTGTTGTCGAGGTTTTCACCAATGTGTTGCTGTTGTAACTGAAGTCACATCCATCCTGATGAATATTTCATTTCCCCAATCATGCTATTAAAACCAGAGTGTTTTTACCCTTTCATTTCTGTTTTCTCTTTTCCAGTACCATCATGACAGCTGTGGCTGCGTCCTGTTTGCAAATTGCTGCTAGTCACATTTTCAGTAGTCCTTGTGGGTTTTGCTTTCCCCTAATATGGGCAATTAGGAGGAAATATTTCTCACGAGCATGGACTTGCTCTTCTCCTTGTAATGACATAGTCCTGCAATCCAGGAAACAGTGCTGCATGGTGTCCATGTCCACGATTTCCTGATGTGGGAAAAAAGTGTGGAAAGCATCTGGAGAGGAGGAGACCCCCTTTACCAGCTTGTTTCCTGTAAGCGAAATTGGAAGACCTTGTCTGTGCAAATAGATTTCAAAATAGAGTCTGCCCTTTGACTGTCTCCATAATTACACAGCGCGCTCTGTATTTTATTTGGCTGCCAGAGCAGTTAACCCCTGGAAGTAAGGGGCTGATGATGGCGTGACCAGCACGGGTATGCAGGCATGACCATGTGAATACACTCTTGTTTGGAGAAGCCTGTCGTTAAGACCTCGTTACAATATACTTTTACCAAATTTAAGAGTTATTACATGTTGGGTTATGTTGATTAAGATACGTTATATCCTTAACGTACAGAAAATGCGGAGGTATTACTTGCAAAAAAGGGAAAAAAAGAAACAGGAAAAAAGTTCTTTCGTGGCTTTGATGTAATCAACATCTGTCACCAGAATGAATTTGCTTTTGTTTAATTTCAAGGGCTCTTGTCCTTCTACTTTGCCCAATCAGTTTCAACTTCTGCCTCAGGCATTTCCCTATGTTGTTCTTTTTTTTTCCTTTTTTTTTTTTTTTTTTTTTTTAGCAAATGCACAGGTTATTGCTTGTGAAATGTGAGCTGCTCTTCTGCTACACAGGTTACACAGAGTTGGAGAGAACCTTTAATCTTTCCCATCCTATTTTTGAAGCTTGCACGTACCTTTGCAACATGGGGATTACAAAGTCAGTGCTTCATTAAGACAGTTAGAATTACAATTACAAGTAAAAATCTATCAAACCACAGACATTATTTTGGATTGAAAAATGGGAACATTTGGCAATTAACAATAAAAAGCTATATATTCTTACCTAGTTGCATTGGTTGGATTCCACATATTATTACCCGTAGTGATTTTTAATACCTCACTTCAAACTTTTTTCCTCTGAAGTTTCAGCAAAATTAATATTTTCACAAGAAGCAAAATTATGATTTAATATTAAAATGACTTGACAAGCCAAATTAAAGATTTCTAGTGTTTTACCCTCATACACATATATACTAAGAAAATCTCCATGGTCATTCTTTTTTTTAAGTTTAAAATATATATATGTGTGTATGTATATATATACATATATATACAATCATATGCTTATAAAACCACATATTTAAAAATAAGTTATTTGGCCAATACTTTCAATGTTGTTAATTGTTCGTATATATTAATTGAGACTTACTTTATCAAGAGCAAGCTGATTTTATTTCCTAAATCAGTTGGATGTTAATTCTTGTAATCCTAAATAACTTTGGTGCTGTGCTTCTGTTGATACTGTTACTAAATTATTCTAAAATATGTTAAATTTATTTCTTGACCCTTTTAAGATGTACCCTTATATTTATTGTAGCTTAGAACTGTAATGAAGTTTGTCCTTTGGTAACATTTTTGCTAATTGCTGGGAAGCTTGAAGTCTTTCATAAATAAAACCCCCAAAAATGGTTGTTAACAGTCACGTTTGATGAATCATGTAGATGAGGAGTTTTTTGCATGACTACTCCAGACCTCATTCATTGAAAACATAGCTGATAAATTGCTGTAACTGTTAAACAAGAAGCATTAGAAGAGGGCTTATGTGAAAGTTCATTTCCAACATCTCCCTTTAAAAATACTTCTTGACCAGAGGAAAATCACATTTAAATGACTAAAATCAACTTAATTAAGGGTCATTAGTAGAGATACACATAAAAAACTCTCTACTGTGTGAGTGAAATGGGAGCATTTCATTATATAGTATAGCATGCATGAACAGATAACAATTAAAATAGACCTGGAGTAAAAGGCTAATAAATATAGGGCACATTGTGCTGCAAAATCAGTCACTTAAAATGCTCCCACCCATCATCGTACTTGAATTCTGTATTCAGCCCCTTTGGCTGACTCGTTTAAAAGAAAAATAAAATGTAATTTCCACACAAGATACATTCATCTGGTAATTCACAAAAGCTCACAGTGCATATTTACATTATTAATACAAATTAAGGTCTGGAAGGTATGCGGAGGAATCCAGCAGCTGCAGCAGGACATGCGTGCATACAGATTGCACAGTGTGATTCACTGTCGAGTCAGAGGAGCAGTTGTCTGTAATTTTCTGTGCTTGGTACATCCTATCTGCTGATGTGATTCAGTAACGCTGGTAATAATTCTCCTTATTGTAGCTGATAGTAAATACTCCGTTACTCCTGGCAAGTGACGTAGCCTTGCTGTTGGGGGAGAGGAGAAACGCGTAAAGGGTCAACTTTGCATCCGGGCTGTGCTGGCGTGTTACCAGGCTACCCGGCTTCAAATGCTGGGCTTGCTCCGACGGCTGCAGTTTCCACTGGCAGCTGCGCAAATCCCACGTTTATGAACTATCTTACAGTAATTAATATACACAGCAAGCTTAACAAAAAGGATCTGCTCGAGTGCCAGTGTTGCAGAAGTAAATAAGGCACCGAGGAAAGCTTTGATAGGTGTAAGGGATGGGGAGGAGGGAATATCTGAGCCAGACTTGGAGAATACAGCCAGTTGTTCCTGTCTCCAGTGATTGATGATGTTGCTATATCGAATTAGCTGTGAATATGGGAGCTTAAAAAATAAAAGCAGCTGTGGAGACATTAGGAAGGCCTTCTTAAGGAAGGAAGTGTGTGGATGGAGTCCAGATTTTCATTATAAAACAGTAACTTCATTATATTTTAATGCCATTTTATTTAATTTTATTTTTACTTTGTAGGAGAATGTTTTCTGTTATAATTTTTTACATTTCAAATAAAGGTTTAGTTGTCCTGTGTTTATAATTCTTGCAATGTATTTTAGAAGTCGTATTATACTATGGTGATATTTATTTGGTTGTCGCATTTCACCTGTTCAAGTAGCAGATATTTTTGTATGAGTCTGGTTTATAATGAGTAGTTAGTAGAGTAACAACAGACTACAGTACCTTATTATCCTGTTATCTTGTGACAACACTTACAGTGTATCTTTGGGAGAGTAGAAGTAAAAATTTTATTCCAAATAAAAAGGTAGCCCTTCTGAATGTGGGATAGTCGATAGGTATGCACCTATGAGTATGAAATGGTTTAATGTATTTGAGAGTGTGCATTTGGAACATTTGGAGTTTTATTGTTGAATAACTGACAAGCACACTTGCACCTTTTCTTCCCCAATTAAACTTTTACACAGTAGACTAGGTGCCCAGGCATCATGCCATGCGTTAGGAAAATACATGTCCACGTACTGAGGTCCACGTGGACTTGAACCGACCACATCAGTGAGTGTGGATTTTCAATATATTTATAATACCTTCAGCTGCGGTAAGAGCAAGGTACTTCCACTGCACTCTGAAAGAGCCACCTTAGCTTGCACTGGCGGACTGATTGCTACTTCCAATGTCCCAAAAGTTGCTACCTCAGCAGATTGTGTGCTTCCAGCTTCCAGAAACGGGTACAAAGCGGCCAGAGAGTTTGTAGGATGCTTTGGGCTCTTTGGTTGTGCTTACATGTTGTGAAGGCTAGATGGCCCAGACTTATTTTTTTTTTAAGTGGACAATTATTTTCTTCTTGTGAAGGAGACCCTAGCAAAGCCATAGGTGATGAAGTTGTTGATTAAATGGTAATTAAAACACCACCAAACCAATCCACCCTCTGTTAACTGGGCAGCTCTGCTTCCATGGAGACACCTGAAGCAGGCAACTTCCATTGGGGTACCTAGGTTATACAGAGAGCTTGGTCTGAGCCTCGCTCTCCAACTCTGCCTTACTACTCAGAAACCATTTAAAAAAACAGTAAAAAATTGCTTACATTGATTAAAAGTCTCTACAAACTTTCAAGTGTTATACAAATTCAGATATTGGTAAATAAACATAGCACTGATCAGTATGCAAAGAGACAGGAACATTTCTAAAGCAAACCCCATGCAACTATTTCATTCATTCTGGGTTTTGGGACTCCAAAAAAGGTGCATAACTCGAATCTCCTGTATATCATGGAATGCTATAAAAGGGCTGTCTGTGAAGCCAAGTGTGCACGTGGAAGGATAATTTCTGCATCTGGATATGATAAAGGCATGCAAAGGAAAGGAAGGAGGGTACAATAGAAACATACATGATATGGAAGAAATTCTTCTTCTAAAAAAAAATAATTTTTACATAATTAAAAAATATGCAGTAGATAAATTTCTTAATTTCCGTGATATAAAAATGTTTAGTTACTTCTGTTTAAACGAAAACTCTTTAGTAAAAAGACTTATAAGGTTACTTGCCACAAAGATTTCTCTTGTGTTTGTACACATATGACATTTTTCAGAAGCAGATTAACTGTTATGTGAAACTTACATTTCAGAAAACCCCTCTGTTTAGATTGTAAAATGTTCAAGTAGTGGAAACATGCACTACGTGTAATTGTAGTTTAATTGGGCAGTGTAAATAATCCTTTTGAATTTCGTGTATTTCCCAGTTTTGATGCTAGCATGGTCTTTTGTGATGCATTATTTTGGTTTTGATGTCTCTGACAACCTTTGGGCATCAATGCCCTATTTTTACCCTTTTTTCTTTTTTTTTTTTCTTCTTTGCGGGGGGGGGGGGCAAAATGTGTCATTGCCCAACAACTAAGTTTGAGCAATTAATACTCTGATGAATTGTCATCCCAAAGTCCCATGTGAATTAAATGGAAATCTGATTTGAATATTCCAAGTCAATTACAAATTTTAATCCCTTCAATTGCCTTTGGCCAAGATTAAAAATATTTCTTGATAGTTTGTTCTGTTGCCCTGCTAGGCAGGACAAATTAAACCAGGTTCCTTGTGTCTTGGTGCAAATGGTGAGAGCAACATTAACTTGGTTATGTTCAAATCTGTGACCAATTCTACAGAAATACGGGTGAAAATACTGTCTGAAATCAAGATTAAATCGTTTTTTCCTCTCCTCTTTTCTTGCTGTTGTCCCTTATTCACCATTTCCGCAAGCCTCGAACAGTGCAGCTTCTAGCCGTGCAAATGGCTACAAGCAGGGGCCAGCTGGAGCGTCACTCCCGGCTGTAAGCTTTGGAGAATTTACCCATGCTGCTTTTTAATGCATTGACTCAAAATAGATGTGGTATTTTATAAAGCTTTGAAGTATTGTTTAGGCAGGTTTTTTGTTCTCATTGCTTCTCGCTATTAATGCTTTTTCTTTAACGGTACAAGATTTGAACAATTTGAACTACCCTTGGCTACTACATGAGTTCCATGGTTTGTTTTACACGATGCCCTTCTTTTTGCATACTTTCCATTTTGTAATGTGGTAGTGGAAAAAAATGTTAACCATTTTAACTTATCTCTTAACAGGTTCTGTGACTGGCTGCCACATAATCTTTTCTTTGTGCAATCGTGTCTACCTGCACAGGCGGTCAAGCAATCAACAGCGAAGATGCTTCTTTTTTCAGGGACAAAGAAATACTGCTTATAGTATAGTTTGGCCAGCCACAGTTTCTCCAGCTCACCCAGTTCCTAAGGTACTGCAATTTCTATTACCTAATCTGTTCTTCTGTCAGTATAGAGTTCGACTGCAGGCATGATCAAGTGTATTCATTGTCCGACAGATGGGGGTTTGGATCACCGTCCTGTTGCTTGGTCTGGTATTTGAAATAGGAACGCTGGTGAGAGAAGTTTTCAGCTGCCTACTATGTTAAACACAGTGGCATATCTAGTTATTAGGGAGCTTAAACTTGGGGCGTGTTCAGTTATGATAGTATAAATGTGGAATATTATAATCATCTGTCAACACTTAACACTTCTGGGTCCAGATTCTCGCTTTGGAGGATTACAGATGGTCCTACCAGAAGTCAGTAGGAATATTACATGATCATCTGAAATCGTTTTCTGTATAAATCTCTAGCAAGCTAATTATAAAAATGTTTAGATTTCACTGAAGGTTTTGTTAATTGGTTATGTCAGATTTAGGAAGAGAACATACAATACATGCTGGTAGCTGTCCTGCAACCCCACTGCATTTTCTAAACTCGGTATTTGCTATCCCCAAGTGTGGGTTTTTTTCTTGCAACACATACTTTTATTTTTATTTACTTTAGAGCCAAAAGAAATTTTTCCATGCAATTTTAACATGTGTACCACTTATGGTTTCCTCTTTTTCTTTTTTCTTTCCCCATTTAATTACACCATACAGATTAGCTGTTTAGTATCTTTCCTTTAGCCAAAACAAAACCAAAGTACCCTTTCTAACCAGTGTTTTTCAGGATATGTATTAGTACTTTTTTTTAAGTTTTACTTTTCATTTGATTATAGAACTCTTATGCAATATATAGAGTATTTCCATGGGCCAGAAATACTAAAAAGTTGTTAGACAGGAAAGCAGATAAGGATGTTGGATGTAGGGCTCTTACACCTAGGAGGCTATGGAAGCTCTGTGTGCAGGGGGACCATAGGGCTACATGCTTTATATATGTTCAAAGGTTTAAAAATTGTAGAACTTACAAACTTTTTTTTTTCCTGTATTTAGATGCCTCTTTAAGGATAAGGAGGGAGAAATATATTGGCATACTGAAAAGTTGTCTTTGCAGCACAGAGTTCTCAGACTGTCTAAAGATCAGTCCAATTCTTCAACTCTGAAAACATGAGGGCAAAGTTACTACTTTGTCACATTGAAATAACATGGTTTTTTTTCAAGATGTTGGTGTGAAACTGTATACATAGACATTTGTATGTATGCTGCTTTGGGCCTCTCCGTTAACAGACCTTACAGGTCAGCAGGGTCAGGTCTCAGCAGTTACTAGCTAAGTGCCCTCCAAGGTGAAAGCAAGGGTGCTGCTGTGTATGGAGTTGCTAATCCAGGAAATGGTGGGGTTTTTTTCTAGATTAAGTCCTAAACTACTGCAATAGGATGTTGTTAGGGTTGATATGCCATTAATTTGAATTAAATGTAAATCTGAAATTCTGTTGACGTAAGTCCACTGAAGATAGTTTCACTTTTTATCAGAGTAGAAATTAAATACCCGTAGGAGGAACAATAGTTTTCCTATATAAAGTCCCGCTAGAGCAAATTGGTTGCCACACTCTTCTTTACTCCTACACCCTGCCGTTGTATGGGCTTGTTGTGTACAGCTCAAGTGCCCACTTTGTTTTATGCCTGCCAGCTTGATTCTGTATTTTCTGAAGTCAGTGCAAAACTCACCCTGTGGCCAGTGTGGCAGAGAATCAGCCTGGCTGTGGGGGGTGAAGGGACTCTTCTCCAGCCAGTGAAACAGCCCATGACCCTCCAAGAGAAAGTGCATTTCCATCTCTTTGGAAAAAACAAAATCTTTTCCTTTTTATTCTTGAAGTCTGTATGCTAACTACACACGTGTATCCTACGCAAGGATGTTACCATTATTATTAGTTTGTTGTGTTTATAGATGTGTCACGAAATTGTTGTGGATTTTAAAAAATTAGAAATTACTTTTCACCTCTATACAAGGGCTGAGAATTTTATGTGTGCAAAAAATGCAGTTTATTACATTTTCCCTGACACAGCGAATTGGGATACACTTGCAAAGTGTTGTAGGTGGACAAATTTGGGCACAATATATGAACCAGATTAATAAGTAAAAAACTCTAAATTAAAGTAAGTTAAATCCTAAGGTTCTTAGAAAGCAATCTTAGGGAAGTTGATAGGAGTTTTGTCTGAAGGAGAAACTAAGGATTTGATCAGTTTTATTTTTAAGCCTAATTCTGTATGTTCGTCCCGCCAGTTCCAATGTTTAGATGCCTTTTGTAGAAAATGTGCCTCTTTACAAAAGAAAATAAAGAGCTTTTAAGACTCTTTCTCACAGTTTTAAAACTTGCGACTGTCTGTGCTGGAAGTTGGCTGCAGTATCTGGGGTTTCAGCACTGGAAGGTTAAGAGACTGTGTAAGTCAGTAGTAACAGGCAATGTTAAGTTCAAAAGGGCAGTGGAAGAAATACTGAGGCAGCCTTGAGGGTTTGCCCTGATGGCTTAGGAAGGTCGATACTACGACAGAAAGGGCAAGCTGCCATGAAGCAGGAGGCAGTATCTGAGAAAATGATCCCATTGTCATGCTCAGTTTTCTGATCTTCATTTTCAATCCTTTTTCTCCAAGCACATAAAGAAGCCAGACTATGTGACGACAGGCATTGTACCAGACTGGGGAGACGACATAGAAATTAAGAATGAAGATCAGATTCAAGGGCTTCGTCAAGCTTGTCAATTGGCCCGTCATGTCCTGCTTCTGGCTGGAAAGGGCTTAAAGGTAACAATTACAGAAGTCCCATAACAGCTTGAATGTCTTTTA